ATGTGGGAGACCTGGGTTCAATCCCTGGGTCGGGAAGATCCCCCTGGAGAAGGAAATGGCAACCCACTCCAATATTCTTGCCTGGAAAATCCCATGGATGGACGGAGGAGCCCGGTAGGCTACAGTCCACAGGGAAGCAAAGAGTCGGACATGACTGAGCGACTTCACTTCAGAGGTGAACAAACAGACCAAACAGGTCATCTGTTACTCTCTAATTATATTTACTCCTTAAAAAGTTGGAGGAGGAAATGGCAACCCACTCCAGTATTCTTGTCTGGGAAGTCCCATGGACAAGGGAGCTTGGTGGGCTACAGTCCATGAGGTCGCAGAGTCAGACAGAACTTAGTGACTAACAGCAACAGCAACAGCCTTGCTCCTCTTGGCCCTTCCTTCTTGGTGCCTCCTTAGCTGACATCTTGCGATTTCTACGGGACCCACCTGTTGCACTGCACTTTAGAGACATGTTTTCACACTCTCCATAAGTACAGGCACCTCAGAGTTGTTGGGGCTTTGGTTCCAGGCCACTATAGTAAAGCAAGTCACACAGATTTCTTGGTTTGCCAGGACACATAAAAGTTATGACTACACTGTCTTCCCTGGTGGCTCAGATGGTAGAGAATCTGCCTGCAATGCAGGAGAGCTGGGTTGGGAAGCTCCCATGGAGAAGGGAATGGCAACCCACTCCAGTATTCGTGCCTGGAGAATTCCATGAACAGAGGAGCCTGGCGGGCCACAGTCCATGGGGTCATAAAGAGTCAGACACGACTGAGCAACTAACACTAACACACTCCTTAAAAAGTACATGAATCTGTCAATCTCTTGGGGAGACTCCCTTCACAATTCATGTGAAATAATTCCTTTTCTAGATCTTACTAGGACAATAAAGTGATCAGTATCCCAATATATATCCCTAACAAAAGCAGCCACTAAGCTAATATTCCACTGTCCTTTACTTAAAAGCAAGAATCACAGGCACAGATGGACGAACCATTTATGTGCTGCAGTCAATAAGGGATTATAACATAATACAGGGAAAAGCTAGTTGTCAAATTAAAAAAGTGTATGAAAATATTAGGAGCCAGCCATCTGGAAATAACTGAAAAGTCAGTATACCTTAGTGACATACTGCTGGCATTGATTCTAGAGTTGCATTTTGTGAGGACTGCACCTCCCAATATAAATAGATATCCCATGGGGAAAGCGGCCAATGTTCAAGCAAATTTAGGAACTGCTCAGTTAAGTAAAATTAAACATATTCTAGGTTCCCCCATCTTTATAATACAGGACTGTTCATGAACCTTAATATGCTATCATGCACTGTCTCCATCTTATAGCAGGCTGCAAGAGGGCTATAGTAAGCAGCATTTCCAAACTAATTTAACAAAGAAATTTTATTCTCACTGGTCACCTTAAGAAACTAGTATCTCAAGCTGTAAAATACTGATCTAGAAACACAGGTAAGAAAGATTTGCCCCCACAACCCCAGGGAGAATCAATGCTAGAGTGTTGTTAAGGGCTTTAAGAACAGAGTATATTGAATTGTTAGGCAAGGCTTTGAAGGTCTGGTTCCTAACAATATTCTAACACAAGCTCTAAGGACTAAATTATCAGGAGCATCTTTTGGTCAAGTATAAAAGGCAATGATCTGTCTGGAGAGCTATAATACCTACCCCCTTCCTATATTCAACTCATAATGGCTATGAAATACAAGGTTAATTTCATTAAAATCCTACCACCACCACCCCCAAATCTTTTGTTCTTTACGCTCCTGCAAGACAAAAGAGAAACTTCATGAAATTAAATAGGAGTGAAGGTCAAAAACTAATCTGATTCTAAAGCTACAGGTGAAATCAGGCATGGTTAAGGACTTTGTGAAGCTCACAGCACAAAGTTAAACAAGCAACAAGACCAATTAATGTCATTGAAACACATGAAACAGCTACATTGTCTAGAATGAAAAGGAATTTAAAATACCTGTAAGAGTGCCAATTAAGAAGGGACAAAAGTAAGTTATTTCCCTGAAGGAAGGAGATTTTTCTGTGGTTTATGGAGGATATTATTAGTATTATAAAACAAGGAATACACTCCAAAAAATATTCTGTGATCTCTTCAATTCCCTAATCTGGATTAAATGTTCCCCCTTTCATGATCAAAGGAGAGAAAATAAAACAAAGGTAAGAAAAAGTATTCAGGACAGTTGTAACTGACAGCAGGAAGAGACATTTAATTTTTGCCAGTCTGGTGGATGTGAAAAGGTTGTCTTGATTTGTCTTTCCCTGAGCACTAAACAAGTCTGAGCCCGTCTAGTAGTCTTTTTTCTTTTTCTTTTTAAACCACGTTTCCTTTTTACGGAATGCCTGATTACATTTCTTGCCTAAATTTCTATTTACTTGTTTCTTTTTCTTAGTAATCTGAAGGATTTCTTTATACACTTCAAATATCAATCTTTCAGTTATGTGGCAACCATCTTCTCTTTGTGACTCATCCTTTCACTTTCATTATGTTGACACAAGACTAATAGAATTAAATCTATTAAATTACAAAACTTTAGAATTAAATATAAATGCTCAGAAGTGCTAGAGATCTCTACCATACACCAACTCTACAATCTTTTCCAGAAAACAGAAGAGGAGGGAAAAGTTCTCAATTCATTTTATGAAGCTTGGATTATCATTGTATTGTCAGAGTGACAGAGACATAGATCAATTAAATAGAAAACAGCACTTTATGGTTTTTTTTTTGGGGGAGGGGGAGGGGGGACCGGGATGGGGAATACATGTAAATCCATGGCTAATTCATTTCAATGTATGACAAAAACTGCTGCAATGATGTAAAGTAATTAGCCTCCAACTAATAAAAATAAATGGAAAAAAAAAAAAAAAGAAAACAGCACTTTAAAAAGACCCATTCAAACAGGCTCAATTGACTCTTGACAATGGTGCAAAAGCAATAATGGAGGAAAGACAGAATTTCAACAAATGGTGCTAGAGCATAGGTTGAAAAATGAGATACTATCTCATAGCCATTGGGATAGCTAGTATCAACAAAATAAAACAAAATAACAAGTGTTGGTAAGGATATGAAGAAATTAGAACCCTTATGCCATAAATACTATAGTCACAATTAGCCTTGGCATTTGGTACTGCTGGTTCTTAACTTTGTCCTTCTTCTTTAGGAGTACCTTGACTACTCTAGGCCATTTTCTCTTCCACAAAAAGCTTAAAATTAGATTGTGCGTTTTACTGAAAAAACACTATTTTGATTCAAATTGCACTGAATCTGTAGAACTATTAGGTAAGAAATGAGAAAAAAATCTTTATAGTAGTTTTTATTTAAATAAACATGATATGTTTTTCCATTTATTTAGGTCTAAATTATTTAAAAATTTTCAGTTAGGTTTTTAAAGCCATCTTAAAAAGACTTGCACATTTCTCGTTAGATTTATTTACAAGAAATGGTTTTGTTACTGAATATGCTTTTAAATTAAAATTTATACTTATATATTTAGATTAAAATTACTGTTGTATATATGAATGCAAATGACTTTTGCTAGACTATCTAAATAATTTTGTTAATTTTTATGTAGATTAAGCTTTCTCTATAAACCAACTCACATATTTACTTTTTTCCTTATAATTATCCCAAACTTTAACTCATTCTATTTTTTTCTTTATTTCTGAATGTACAGTGTGGATAAGAGTGATAAGAAACATCCTCATCTTGCTTCTAATTTTTAAAAGGGTATTTAAAATTTTCCACTAATAGGCATATTTCAAGTAGCTTTTTAGATACCTGTTATCACATTAAGAAACTTCTATTCCAAGCTTTTTAAGTTTTATCATAAACAGGTACTGCATGTTATTAAAATTTTTTCCTGCACCACAGATAATCAATAATTTGTCTTTCTACATCTGTTAAAGTGGTCAGTTTTATGAAAAAATTTTCTAATGGACTAACTTTGCAAAAATCAAGCTGGCGGAAACATTGTTGTTTAGTTGCTCAGTCAGGTCTGACTTTTTGCTACCCCATGGACTGCAGCACGCCAGGCTTCCCTGTCCTTCACCATCTCCTGAAGCTTGCTCAAACTCATGTCCATTGAATCAGTGATATCATTCAACCATATCATCCTCTGTCGTCCCCTTCTCCTCCTGCCTTCAATCTTTCCTACCATCAGGGTCTTTTCTAATGAGTCAGCTCTTTGCATCAGGTGGCCAAAGTATAAAATGAGTAAGAGTATATATTAATTACTGCTGTATTACTACTGTTGCCTAAAAACTTAGTGGTTTAAACCAACCAACATTTCTAACAGTTTCTATGTGTCAGGACCTTGGAAGTGGCTTAACTAGGTGGTGTCTAAGTGTTTCTCATGGGGTTTCAGTCAGGATGTCAAGAGGGGCTGTGGTACCCATTGTTAAGATGGACCAATCACATGCTGTTGGTGGGAGGCCTCAAGTTCTCACACAGAGTTCCTCCACAGCCTTGAGTGTCCCCATGAAAATTAACTGCCTACTCCAAGAATGAGTTATCTAACAGACACAGTGAGGAAGAAGCTGCAGTTCCTTTTATGAACTATTCTCTGAAGTCTCACACCACCACCTTTGCTTTCATTCTGTTAAGGCTGCATCAACAGGTCCAGCCCACTCTCAAAGGGAGGGAATTAGGCTCCACCTTTTGAAGCAACGAGCACAAAAAGAGTTTTAACATATTTTACAATGATCACAGAGTATTCCCTCTTTTTCTAATTTCCAAATTTGTTTAAGATTGGAATGATATGTTCCTTAAATATTTGGTAGGTTTCACTTATAAAACAACTGGGACTTGGTATTTTCTTTGCAAGCTTCCCAGGTGGCTCAGAGGTAAAGAATCCACTTGCCAATGCAGGAGATGATGGTTCAATCCCTGGGTTGGGAAGATACCCTGCAGAAGGAAATGGCAACCCACTCCAATATTCTTGCCTGGAAAATCCCATGGACAGAGTCTGGCAGGCTACAGAACATGGGGTCACAAAGAGTCAGATATGATTTAGCAATTAAAACAACAACAATGAATTTTCTTTGTAGGCGGTTTTTAAATAACTGATTCAACCTCCTTAACAGTTAAAAGGCAATCAGCTTTTCTAAATATTATTGAAGTCATTTAAAGTTTTAAAAAAACTATCCACTGCATTTAATTTTTCAAATTTACTGACATCAAGGTCACTTTCAAATTTCTTTATCTATATCAATATTCTTTATTGATCTCTTCTGCACTGATAATTATTTTTGTTTTTCATCCCTAATTCCCTGAGTCTTGACCATTTAACAGGATTTTGCAAAAAAAAACCTTATTTTGGATCCTATCATATTTTAATTTTCTATCCAACTGATTTCTATTCTTATCTTTATTAAGTACCAGTTAGCTACACTGATATGTTCTAATGGGGAATCTTTTCATTATCATCCAGTTCTTAAAATTTTCTAATGTTCATTATGATCTCTTCTTTGAAGATATTGTAAAACTGCTAAATGTGTAGAGGTATTCTAAAATGTTTCATTATAAAAACAGTTAAGGCTTCCGGCCTGGAGTATATAGAAATTTAAGCCTTCTCTCAGAAGTGTATTGGTAGTTAAAGAAGACGACAGCTAACCAAAGGTCATCTGAAATTGTGACTGGCTGATAATCCCAGGACAAAATTAGAGATCACTACTCAAGCATAAGGCCTCCAGGAAGATGTTTGACCTAAAGGCCTGGGCTGAGTATGTCGTCGAGTGGGCTGCAAAGGACCCTTACGGCTTCCTTACGACAGTCATTCTGGCTCTGACTCCATTGTTCCTAGCAAGCGCTGTGCTGTCTTGGAAACTGGCCAAGATGATTGAGGCCAAGGAAAAGGAGCAAAAGAAGAAACAAAAACGTCAAGAAAATATTGCAAAAGCTAAACGACTAAAAAAGGATTGACGGAATGAACAGGCTGTGTGTCCAGAGGAAAATAGTTCGGAAAATTATGCATCTTTGAAAGGACCCGTTAAGGTTTCTTTTTGGATCTTATGACAGTATTACTAAACGAAGTCTGAGTCTATGGAAGAATCATGTCACTTCTCACCTGTACTGTAGCAGCTTTTCGGCTTCGGTATAGAAGTCTGTTGACAGTTACTGTAAATGGGCATTTATTATGCTACAGATTCTTTTAACTGACTTTCATTTGCCTTTTTGCAGCTTATGTATGAATACTAAAATGAAAACATCCTGTGAAGAAAAGTGACTTTAGATTATGAACTCTATTCAAATAATGGCTTAAAATGTGGTCCTCTTCTGGACAGAGGAGATTAAGAATGTAAAAATCAAGAGTTGTTCTGAGCAGAAAAGCGTGGTTTGGCTTAAAAGATACATGGTGTATTAATTACATCTCTTATCGTTATTATTTCTTGGAATAGAATCATTTCTGGTTTCCTCAAAGCAAAATAATATTATTCAATGAGTACTTCTCTATTTTCTGTATTTTTCTTACTTTAGCTTTTGAGATACTGGTAATTACCAGATAGTCTGCATTTTAAAAAATCTAATTTTATAAAGAATTTTCTTGTTATCTTGATTATGTAGAATACCACCTACTGGATATAATCATTTTTCTACTTATGAACACTGCCATTTTCTTAGAGATGACTTGAGTAGAGTAACACTATGATTTAAAGCTTAAGAGCAAAAATGCCAAACCTGTAGTACCTTGGAACCAGTTTATTCTCACTTGTGCTAAGTAGAAATGTGAAGTAGTTAACATGTCTTATCAGATAATTTGCTGATTATATAGATACCACTTTTGTTTTTTATTCTATTCTTTGTTTTAATTCATGTGGTGGTGATGTCCTTTACTTTTGATCAGACAGGTTCATGGTGAAAATTAAAATTTCAACTTTCTTTTAAGGAACTTTTAAAGAGTTACAGTTATGTCATGTGTCATAAAGGGTAACAAAAGTCTTAACATTTGGAAAAATTTTGTTTGCATTGTATTAACTGTGTGAAAAAGGTGTAAATTATGTCAAAATGAGAATGTTCAAAATAAAGAGGTAAAGGATATTTCCTTCAAAAAAAAAATAAATAAAATAAAATAAAATAAAAACAGTTAAAGCAAAAAAATTTGAAAGTACAACAAATATTGTAAAGTGGCATTAGCCTCCAATCAGAATAAAAAGAAAAAAATAAAAATAAAAGTCCATTCTGAGAATAAAAAATTAAAAAAAAATAAATAAATAAAAGTCCAACCAACAATTGTACAGGCTTCACCTAGATTCAATAATAATTATCTGCCAAATTTATTTTCTCTTTCTACATAAACACACAGATAGTATGTATAACACATGCATTTCGCTATACCATTTAAAAGTTGTAATACCAGAAAAATGAACAACCCAATCAAAAAAGTGGGCTAAAGACCTAAACAGACATTTCTCCAAAGAAGACATACAGATGGCTAATGAAAAGATACTCAACATGAAAAGATACTCAACGTGACTCATTATTAGAGAAATGCAAATCAAAACCACAGTAAGGTGTCATCTCACGATGGTCAGACGGCCGCCATCAAAAAGTCTACAAACAAATGTTGGAGAGGGTGCGCAGAAAAGGCAACCCTCTTACACTGTTGATGGGAACACAAACTGGTACAGCCACTAAGAGAACAATGTGGAGATTCCTTAAAAGACTGGGAACAGAACTGCCTTGTGCTGTGCTGTGCTCAGTCGCTTCTGTGGTGTCCGACTCTGCAGCCTATGGACCATAACCCGCCAGGCTCCTGTCCATGGTTCTCCAGGCAAGAATACTGGAGTGGGCTGCCGAGCCCTCCTCCAGGGGATTTTCCCAACCCAGGGACTGAAACTGTATCTCTGGTGTCTCCTGCACTAAGGCAGGTTCTTTACCCTTTGAGCCACCGGGAAGCCCCTAGAACTGCCATACAATCCAGCAACCCCATTGACGGGCATACACCCTGAGGAAACCAGAACTGAAAGAGACGCATGTACCCCAGTGTTCACTGCAGCACTACTTACAATAGCTAGGACATGGAAGCAACCTAGATGTCCATCAGAAAATGAATGGATAAGGAAGTAGTGGTACATATACACAATGGGATATTACTCAGCTATAAAAAGGAATGCATTTGAGTCAGTTCTAATGAGGTGGATGAACCTGGAGCCTATTATACAGAGTGAAGTAAGTCAGAAAGAGAAAGACAAATACTGTATATTAATGCATATACATGGAATTTAGAAAAATGGTACCGATGATCCTCCATGCAGGGCAGCAAAGGAGACACAGATGAAAAGAAGAGACTTTTAGACTCGGTGGGAAAAGGTGAGGGTGGGATGGTTTGAGAGAACAGCACTGAAACATGCACATTACCACACGTGAAGCAGATGGCCAGCGCCAGTTTGGCGCATGAAGCAGGGCACCCGAAGCCAGTGCTCTGGGAAACCCAGAGGGAGGGGAGGGGGGTGGTTCAGGATGCGGGGACACATCCACACCTGGGGACACATATACACCTCATGCTGATGTATGGCAAAAACCATCACAATATTGTAATTACCCTCCAATTAAAATAAATTAATTAATTGACAAAAAATAAAAGTTGTAGACACTTGATCCCTGAAGAGCCTGGCACATATCTCCTAAGAATAAGCACAATCTCCTAAATAACCACAATTTCAAAGGCCACCTAAGAAAATTAATAATACTTTCACAATATACTATGTAGCCCACATCACATTTTCCCTAATTATCTCAAGAATGTCTTGGTATAGCTCTTATCTCAGAACCAGATCAAAGCCAGGTTCATGCATTGTAGACGTCTCTCGTATCTTTTCCTAGAACAATCTCTCTACCACTTTTCCCCTATGACATTTACTTTTTGAAGACTGTAGGACAGCTGACTTGAGAGTGTCACGTATTCTGGATTTTCGTGACTGCTTCCTCTTGATGGCACAAGTGAATTCAAGGAATGCTTGAATTTTTTATAATAAATACTTTATCTTTTCCATTAAACATTTTAAGTTATGAGTCAATGTCCATAATGTGAGCACCAGTCAGGATGTCTGAGAACACACTAACTGAACTGTACGGTATGTAAGATTTATTTGATTAGAGCTTTCATTTGACCCAAATTTAACGATATGCGTATTTTTTGTGGCAAAGTTTTCAGACACAAATGCTAAATAGCTCACAAGTGATAGTTAATATTCTTTTACTCAATGAAACCTATTTGTCAGTTTTTCTTTCATTTTTATTATTTCTCCAGTAATGAACCAGCACCAATGGCTATTACATGTAACAGCATAGAGTTTAACCGTCAGCTTGAACAATTCACGTGTTAAAAAGGAATATCAATATTCTTTAATCCTGCCTTCCTCCTTGGTACGGTAATCACTAAGACTTAATCTTTTTATACATCTTCCCTAAAGAGCAATCTTTAAGGAGTCCTTCAACAGTTCACCGGCTACTGACTATTCTACATTATTAGTCTGTTATGTCGTAAAACCCAAACAGAAGAAACACAGTGTCCCTTGGCCGTGAATAGGCCATCTGGAAACCACAGCTGGGGCAAAGCACTAAGGCTGATTACCTGGGCAACTGGAGAAAACACAGTGAGCCTGGTTTATGGAACTACAGTACCTAGGCCTATAGTGACAAAAGAGATGATAAACTACAGTTATTCTCTATCTGAGAAGCATGTGCAGTGAGCAACAAGAAAGAACTAATCTTTTATTTACTTCCTTTGGGATTAGTTGGCTTCTGTTCCTAGTTGAGGAGTTTCCTGAAAGTTCATTCACCATGCCATTGTCTTTATATGAACATAGGATAGAGAAATGATCCTCTTCCGTCACGCTAGTCGTTTAGGGATGGAAGGTTTGCTCATCTGCATTTTTGAGACTTTTCTGTAGTTTGTAAATAACTCCATTCTCTGCTTGAACACAGTATTCTCCCAATAGCACTTCCATTGCCAGTGTCTTTCTTTGGTGCCTTTCCTGTTCAGCATTCTCAGCCTGTGGCAGTGAAGACAAACTTTGTGCTACATGACGACAAAGCTGCTAAATCTCCTATTTTTTTAAAATCACTAACATTATATTGCAACAAGGGAAAGAAAAAAAGTCTCTATTTAAATTTTTTTTTATTTCCTTCCTCAGTTGGTGTGTTTTGGGGATGTCTTATTTTTAGATGGTTACACTGTTAGATCACTATTTTCAGAATCTGAATGTAATTTGTGTAATAAAGTGTTTTCAGAGCATTAAAAAAAAAAAAAAGAAAGAACTAATCACCTCCGTCCAAAACAAACAAACCAAAACAATATTATGACAAACAGAACAAAAACCCTCCCAGATAATAATGTTATTACATCGTTGTTGTTTCTGTTTAGTGGCTACGTTGTGTCTATTTAGTGACCCCATGGACTGTAGTCTTCCAGGCTCCTCTGTCCATGGGATTTCCCAGGCAAGAATACTGGAGTGGGTTGCCATTTCCTTCTCCAGGGGATCTTCCTGATGCAGGGATAGAATCCACATCTCCTGCATTGGCAAGTGGATTCTTTACCACTGAGCCATCAGGGAAATCAGGGAAGCCCAATGTTATTATGCACTAAGTGTCAATACATAGTATTTTACTTACTGCTTATAAAATGAGGTACAAAGAAATACCAATCTAGAAAAAGAATCAGAGTTCAAGTGTAGGTTTATGTTATTACAAACGTATACACTCACTCTTTACCAATGCCAGGTAATAGAAAGTCCTAATTGCAAAATTAGAGTTAATGTACATTAAAACAATGAATAAATTAACATGGAGGGAGGCTCAGAAGCGAAGGGATATATACACACATACACACATATATACATATATAATTATGACTGATTGGCATTGTTGTATGGCAGAAACCAAGACAAAATTGTAAAGCAGTTTTCCACCAATTAAAAAATAAATAAAATTTAAAAAAAAGAAAAAGCGAATGTAAATATGAGAAAGAACTTAAGTTCAGATAAAAAGAGGTTGGTAAAGTAAAACCCTTCTGAAGTTTACTATAAAAACCTAAATTTCTTGGTTATTAATTGCAAAATTACAATATTTACTTTTATTTCTTTACTCAGTTTTTTTTTTTTTTTTACTTTAAAATAGGAATTTTACCACCTAACTCACAGTAGGTAAGAAAAGCAAGGTCAGTACAGTGTCTGAAACACAGTAACATAATTACTTATGTCTTCCTGACTCAAAGGCTTATTGTGCCATTACTGTGTGTCACAACTGTGTTAAAATGGGTGAAAAGTGGAAGTGTTATTTGCTCGGTCGTGTCTGACTCTTTGTGAACCCATGGTCTGTCCATGGAATTCTCTAGGCAAGAATGCTGGAATGGGTTGCCATTTCCTTCTCCAGGGGATCTTCCTGACTCAGGGATCGAACCGGGTCTCCTGCATTGCAGGCAAATTCTTTACCAGACATAAATTCACAAATTATATTTAAAGTCTCTCGCCTTGTAGAATCACAGGGGAACAAAAAAGGAAATTAAGCAAGCCTTTGCATTGTACTACTTCTGTTAAGTATAGAGTATCAAGGGATAGTATCTATTATTGTTCTATTGGAACTCAGGAAAAGTCTTTCATACAGTTGCTTTGAGGAATTTAAATGAAGTTATTTGTGTAAATCTTTACTCAGTGTCTATCACAAAATGAGCATACCACAAATGTTGCCTATCATTAACACTTTTTAAGAAGAAACTTTAAAGATGCACATCCAGTAGGGTTCAACCGGAAAAGATGGAGGGGGGAATAATTCAGGAAAATGGAACAGCATGTGCAAAGACCTGGGGTGAATGAGTGGCACAAAAGAGGAGCTAAAAAAAAACCCAGAGATATGGCCACTGCACACAGCAACAAGTTCAGAGTAAAGGGGATAGACTTTTAAGGCTCAAATTAGGAAAATGCCAACTATCAACTAAGCTAGAAAAGGCAACTGGAAGAAAGTGAGTGTTAGTCGCTCAATTGTGTCCGACTCTGTGATCCCACGGTCTGTCCATGGGATTCTCCAGGCAAGAATACTGGAGT